TTAAAATAAGCAAAATAAACTGTACACGGGTAAATAACTAGCCTCCAAAAGACCGAATTTTAAGCAAAAATCTGTAGGCAAAAAAATGAAGTGGTACCATTTTGATGAGAATGGGAGAACAAACAATTCTGAAATGCACTTTCCCCCCTCCCCGTTCTTCATATCTCGTCAATATTACCTCTTTATTGGCTCTTCCGGCAGATCATCTATACTCAAATAACGTATAGTTTTTCCGGTCGCAAGTGCATTGTCAACGAATGCAAGTCCTTCCAGATATTCTTCCTGAATTTTTGCAAAAAATTAAATTAGAACATTTTCGAAACTGCAATGAATTTTCGAAACGAAATAGTGCTAATTTTATAGTTTCAGGGCTATTAATAACTCAATTTGTGCCTCTTCAGCAATGAAGCTTTGTATTTCCTGGCTTTATATTTCCTTGCATTCATTTACTCAATTCTCCGCCTTTCTTTCCCGACACAAACAACAAATCTCCGTTTAAGGCTCCAAAAAAAGCGTTTTCTCCTCAAGCCGCTGTAATGTATTACCGAAAATTTGAAAAAAGTCGATGAATTGATGCAAAAAAAGCAAACAATTTGTAAAATCAAGTTATGTATTTAAAAACTGGACGCATTTACAATTTTGCGTGTCCAGGCCAGTGCAAGGCTGTGGTTTTAGAAAGCAACAACACTGTGTCACAAACGGTTCACGAAAAAAAAATTGTTTTTAAAGATGGAAATTTGGATATAATTAGGCGTGGAAAAACAAAAGGTATGAAGAAAAAGAGACAAAGGAATAAACGAGAACTGCCCGGACGATTACAAGTGGAAGGATAACCAAACGCTGGAATGTAGCTCCGTAAAATACGGCATCATTTTATTTCATTTTTAAAATTCTATTAGTATTACTGGTCATGTAGCGGGGATGACAGACAACAGATGGACAAAGTAAAACAGTACTGCTGGCAAATAACATCCAAATGGAATGTTATAAATCAAATAGGATTTACCCGAAACTCAACGCCTATTGGTAAAATCTGTTGCACAGTTCTCTCAAAAGTACTGTACGCGAAACATGTTGCCATTCGTAGAAGCTGGGAAATTTTTGAGCGACATACCGCCTTTTCATTGATTCTATATCTTTGTGTGCCATTTTCTGAAATTTAACAGAGAATTGGTGTTATGTTGGGAACCGATAGTTCAAAATTAAAGGTAAGGAACTGAGAGGGCAAGGTAAAGAGGGAGGGAAACGGACTATTCTAATTTACCGCACTTTACTGCCCCAATAACCGATTTTGCATTTTTCAGTAAAAAAGTTATCACCTTGAATGTATTGCAGTAGAAAAACTGGGTTCTTGCCGGCACTAATTTACAAACTAACCATAAAATTCTAGAGCTCTGGCTTAGCAACTTCGATCAGGAATCCCAACAGCAAAAAGTCAAGCTTGCTAAAAAGCCTAGTCGGGAACAATTGGAATAGTTGCTCATTCACAATGCGATTTTCTAACCATGCAACTGGCAATCTTCCAAAAATAGAAAAGTGAAAAAAAAAGCTCAGCAAACAGACAAAAATTACTAAGAATGAAAGAAAAATACCATCAAGAACAACATCACAGTGAGCCTTAATAAGCCAATCGATTGCTTGCGAGGGGATTTTTCGACTTGGAAAATTCTTCTTAAGGGCCTCTTCCAAACACACAGCATCAACTGATTCCAAAATTATGCCTGGCTCCTCATCATCGTCCAAATAGTCAACCAGTTCGGTAACAAGCCGATCGCGGTATTTAGCTGACAGCAGGCGCACATAACCTATTAGAACAGAAACAGCTGGATGAAGTGTAGTTCGCCAACAGCAGAAATATCAAAATTAAATCTGTTTTTGCCGCGAATAGTAGTGGATTCGCAGCAAAATAGGAACGAACCTGCCAAAAAAAAGGATTTAGCGTCTTCTTCTTATGATCTTAAGAATCACGAAATGTTCTTGCAAATCATGGGAATAAATTTGTTACAGAAGTGTGACGAATATCGAGATAACGTTGATCTTAGATTCAATACTTTCCAAATTTACTATTAAGATTCAGCTCTTACTTTGATAAACGCTTAACTTTAGATCATCATAATCAGTAAGGCATCCTATTATGATCCAGGCGTTCGGAGATCTGATGATGCATGACGCATACATATACATACACACACACATACATACACATACACAGATGTACACCCCAAGAGAACCTGGGATGACTATAATCTCTTCTGTCACTGGAACAGCAACTGATCATCTCTCCGAACGTCACGATCACTAGGTAATCAGCTGTTAGGCAAAGTGGCATTGGTGAAAGTAAACAGAAAAACTGTCAGCTATACAGTTGGGGAAATGCTGATCCAGATACTTAACAAGAACTTTGAACGTTCCGCACAATAACATCAAAAATCGCGGGAGAAAGGTGTAACGATTTAACGCGTTAAATCGTCACACCTTGAAAAAAACCAATTTATTAGTTTTTAGCATGAAAGTTATTAAAATAAACCATTTAGAGTAATAACAGGCATGCGCTGAAGTGCTTGCAACAACTCGTCTTCGCTCATTTGCACTGTTCCCAGTAGATCCTCAATTGTATATCTGAAGCATGCTGAATAAGCTTATGCCTTGTTTCATCGTAAAATTGAAAAAACAACGGCTCCAAGGTAACACAACAAGGTATAGGTTAACTGCTGTTGAACTTTTTAGGGCATAGAGACGGGTATTTTTCCCAGACATGGCTTCAATATATTAACTTAAGCGTAAAAACGCGTAAAAAAATAGAGTGCGGTAAAAAATCGTTCAAATTCGTAAAACATTCAGGAGTTAAGAAGATATTACTTAATCAATGACACAAAAACTATTGCTAAAATAACATTAAATTTGCAACTGTAATCAAAATATTTGGAGATATCCGTAAAAATTTATGGCCTGTTTCTCTAACTGTGATCTGATAAAGGATACAGCAGCCCAGCAAACTCCCGTGAGAGCCACCTGGCAATGCTTTCGCTTTTTTGAGATGTTCTTGATGTGTGTGTGTGTGTTTGTGTGCTTGTGTGCACGGGGCATCATTATATCGTCTTAAATGTTGCTAGTCCTCAATAATGACGAATTCCTGGTCGATCAAGAAAAGTTTGTAATCACTCAATAAAAAGACTTACAACTTTTTATTTTCGTTGTCATCATCATTATTATCATCATCATGATCGAAATCCAGCTCACTGTCACGAAGTAGATCTTTTAAACGAGTAGAAGAGACCCGTGTCATTTCTCGTAATTCCAAAAAGTTCTTTTTCATCGCAACAACCTGTAAAATTCTCTAACTCGGTCTTCAAATGTATTAATTTAAGATCTGTTACAGACATTAAACAATCCTTTAACTGCAAACAGCTTTTGAAACATTTTTTGCCGGACTCTCAAAAAACGGTCAACGGAGTCACCGCAATACGATACAGGTATCACGTCGCACAAAAGAAAGACTACAATTCCACACCGTCGTATTAATTTTGAATGCTGATATTTAATTTTGACGAAAGGATTTGTTGACATTTTTGACTTT